ATGGGGTTTAACGACAGCATGTTTAAGTATTGATGGGACACAACCTGACTGCAATGAGGCATTTATCACCATTAAGATATATAGGCCAGAAGTAAGAAAAATGTCTTTTATCAGACGAGTAGGTAGACAGTCCAAAGGATAATTTGATGGCCGCAGGTACTTAATTACTGAGGTGAGTTCATCTAAAGAAAGTGGCTGAAAATGCTCCAGAACAGCTGTGCATTGTGGCATTTCTTGGGAATCTAAAACTAATAGGGAATTCGAGCTTCTAAGAGCTACAATTTTTTCTATGAAAAACTTAGAAAAAGCCTCACAAAGTTCAGCAGAGGCTAAAGGGCCAGATGTAGTCGAGGGATTAACAATCCTATCTAGGACATTAAAAAGGACTTGAGGCCTATGCTCATTTGAAGCTACACGATTAATTAGATATTTAGATTTTGCTAATTTGACATTATTCTGATAATCAAATAAATCTTTCAATATTTCATATGAAACTTTCAATTTATCTTTTTTCCACCTCCTCTCAGCTCGCCTACAATCCCGTCTGAGTGCACGAGTGGTTTCATTAAGCCACGGTTCTAAAAGTTTCTTTTTTGTAATTTTTTTGGTTTTCAAGGGTGCTACTGTGTTTAGAGCATTTGAACATGCGTTGTTAAAATTTAGGATAAGAGTTTCAATATCAATATTGCTATCAGTAGGGAATGTAGTGTTAGCAAGGATTGCATTTAGTTGAAGAGCAGTTTCAGAGTTTATAGTACAAGAAGGTAGAGGTTTTGTGTTGTTTGTATCCACAGAAGATGAAATATTAACAGAAAATAAAACAGGCAAATGATCAGAAATTAATGTCTGAAGGATTTCAATGATATCCAAACAAAGCCCATGTGATAATACCAAATCCAGAGTATGTCCCTTTAAATGCGTTGGCCCAACCACAGATTGTGTGAAATTGAATGAATCAATCAAGTCCAAAAATTCCTTCACCAGAGGTTTATCTGGGCAACATACGTGTATATTAAAATCACCTGTAATTAAAATATGATCATACTCTAATGTAATCCATGCCATAAGTTCTGAAAGTTCATGAATAAAGTCCTTGTTGAACTTTGGCGGACGGTAGACCACCACACACACAATTGGTTCAGTTAATTTCACTTCAAAGACTTGATGCTCAAAACTGGAGAATGAATTTATAGATGATTGTTGACAGTGGAAACTGGATTTAAAAATTGTAGCCAGACCTCCACCTTTGCCAGTCAACCGGGGAGAATTTATAAAAGCACAGTTCTGAGGTAGAAGTTCAGAAAACGGGAACAACTGACCTTCTTGTAGCCAAGTTTCTGTGATGAATAAAAAATCCAAATCCCGAGAAGTAAACAGGTCATGTAGCACGAAGGTCTTATTAGCTAAAGACCTAGCATTAAGCAAAGCCAAGCGGATGTTTGATGGAGAAGAAGCACAAGTTGAAGACTTATCATACTTCAACCGCATGAGGTTTCCATAATCCACATTCCTCCCTCGATCCCGAAGCCGTCGATGATAGAAACACTCCACCGCGTCCATCCGAGAGTTGCACATCCCAGGAACAACGGGGCGAGTCCAGCGGCGTCCTACACTCAGGAAACGAGGACACCATCCCAGTCGAGGAGAGCCGCCACGACGGCGAAGAAATGCCAAATAAGCTTTAATCTTCACCGCCAGTCCTCCACGTTTACCACGTCTTCGACGGAAGCGACTTTCCGGAATCAGATGTGGATAACTCAGCAGCTCAATAGGGATGTCAGAGAGGAACTGGAACCCTCGGCCTCTCGGACCCGGACCATATCCAAATTGTAGATCCACCGAAGTTTTAATGTCCAAAAGTGCTTGACGGTCGTAAACAATTAAGCCACCAGAACCGTAATAGCACAAATGCATAAACAGAGCAAAAATAACAATGTAGAAAGAGCGAGTCAGACGGCGTGCCGAATACACTGGCGCCATTTTTAAAGGTTTTTCTTCACATGAATCAAGCGTACTGTCAATGAAAAAGTAATCAATCCTAAAATATGATTGATGTACCTGAGAGAAGAAAAACATTTCTTTAACAGAGGGATTGCGAGATCTCCATGGGTCAATAAGACCATTCTGTTTGATAAAATCAGAAACTGTTTTAGACATAGCACTTTGAGTCAGATTGCGAGGATTAGACCGATCCAAGATCGGGTCAAAAACACAATTTAGATCTCCTCCAAGGATCAGTAGGTGTGTATTCAAAAAGGGGATGTTACTCAGTAACCTATTAGCAAATTCAACATCATCAAAGTTCGGGGCATATACATTTACCAACAAAACCTTTCTTTGCATTAGTGTACCAGCAACCATGAGGTATCTGCCATTCCTATCAGCGATAACGTCAGTGGATAAGAACTGAACTTTTTTGTTAATTAAAATGGCGACTCCTCTAGCTTTCGAATTAAAGTTAGAGTGGAAGACTTGACCCACCCAAGGGCAATGTAATCTAAAGTGATCTTTAGTACGAAGGTGAGTCTCCTGTAAAAATACTAAATCAGAGTTTAAACGTTTCAAATGTGCAAAAACCTTAGATCTCTTAATAGGATTACCCATACCTCTGATATTCCAGCTGACAAACCTGAGAGGTGTGCCTGACCCAGCAATGCTGGGATCTATATTGCCATTGACCATTAAAACAAAACAACAACAAACATGCAAATGTTTGTAGAGAGCCGAGGTGGTGCACCCTCCCCTAACAAACCCCCAAAAACAAATACACCAGTGGCGGCCGGCCCATAGGGGGCGCTGGGGCGCCGCCCCCCCTAGATGTGGAGGGGGAAAGTTATAATATATATATTTATTTTTAAAGTATTATCAATGTCAGTTTTACTTAATAATATGTGGCTACATGTAATATGAATTATTAAAACAACACTTCCACCAACTGACTCTCATTCAACAGTGCATTTTCACCCACAGAACGTATCGTTTCTCTTCTGGGGCGCTAGCCCCAAGCGCCCCAGAAGTGCAGCGAAATAACCAATTGAAAAATGTTGCTAGGGAAAATTAATAAATATTTGGCCAATCAGCATCGCCGAAATGATTGGCTTTGGGGCGCTTGGAGCTGGCGCCCCAAAGCCATAGACGTGTAGCTATTGGTCAGTCAGGCTGTGACGTAGAAATGACGGCGACGGCGACAGTTGAAGAGCTGCTTTCACATAATTCAGTGAGATCTTTACTGAGTTCTCCTTACGTGAGAAGGACAATGGTGGAAAAATTAAACGTAAAGAAGCTGGGACCTGACAAGTCCGAAATAAATTTAACGCAGCGAACCAATGAAAAAGCGAAGTCCTACAGCCGGCCTTTTAACAGGAGCTGGTTCCAGCGTAAGTCCTGGCTGACAGCCGGTGGGACGCCAATGCACTTTTATGTTTTTCCCGCATCCCTTTAAAAGAGACCGGAGTGATTTGACGTGGACACAGTCTGGACAGACAGGCTTAAAACACCTCTCTGAACAACTAAGAAACATGAAATATCACGAGGTTATATGGAAAACTGTGTTAAGCTAACCGTGTTAAGCTAACCACCTGTGTGCCTACTTTGTGTGTTTGGTGAAAAATAGTAAAATTTCATACTGTTCCCTTCCAAAATAATACCTAATATAGCTTCAAATGGTTAACTGTATATGTAAACTGCTGATTCTGATAAGGGAATTAAATCATTATTGTGGAATTGTACTAATTTTACGACTTTTAACTTGAATGCATGTACTGGGTTAGGCAGGGAAATATATTGGCACACCAGCCCCACCAAGATTTTTTTTCACCAGCCGCCACTGAAATACACCCAAAGTCCCCAAATAACCACAGAACAAAGGAGACAGGAGTGTTTCCCACAATAACCAAAAGTTGTCCACAGTAGCGTTGAACAACCCGGAGACAACGCGGAACAAGCAAAAGTACGAGAGGAAAAGACCTCCCGCCGATTTTGACATTATTTAACAGTGTGCGCGCAATAAAAACACGTTAAATTGAAAAAGCTCACATATTGTCTCCTCCTGAGGTGACGTTTCAACAGAACAAGGAAAGTGACCTCCTTAATAACACATATCAAATTTGCAGATAGATCAGATGGCTATAGACAAGCATGTGAAATACAGATCAACAAATAACAGCTGGCCCTCAGGCTGGTCCAGATAGTTGCAGAAAGCATAAAATGAGGTAGTGCTGATCTGATCTCAGGTACAAAATTTGCAAATATGGTATGGTCACGTAATATAACAATATATTAATCTATTCAGTGCAACCAAGCAAAAGACCACCAAATACTGCACAGGTAGAGAAAGAAGGCTAGTTAGCACAAACTTCGAGGAATAAAAGAACACAGAATCAGAAAACGTACCATAGCTCACTCAGAAATCAAGGATTTGACATAGTCGCTGGCTTTCTCTGCTGAAACGAAGTCCTTCTCAACACCGTTATATGTGAGGTGAAGACGAGCTGGATGAAACAGCCCGTATCGAGCACCGTCAATGCTCCGGATTTGGCGTCTGACCTCGTTGAATGCAGCCCGAGCCCGGGCTATCTTGGCGGTGTGATCAGGAAAGACTAAGATGGTCAAGTCTCCGACCTTAATCTGCCGGAGCTCTCTGGCGCGGCGCAAAATGTCCACACAGTCACCGTAATAGTGAAGTCTGCACACAATGGCTCGTGGACGATCACCGGGTTTGGGTTTGGGTTGGAGGGTCCGGTGGGACCGATCCACAAGCGGCTCGTTTACCAAACCGAACGCCTCCCTCAGTAAGGCGGATACAGCAGTAGTGGTACAGGTGTCAGGACCCTCCGGTACTCCCACTATCCTGATGTTGTTGCGCCGTGCTCTGGACTCCAGGTCTTCACATTTATTTTCCAGCTTGTCCACGTCGGCTGTGAGGGACTTGATTGTAGTTTTCATCTCGGCGATGTCATCGGAGCACTCAGTGAGTGCATGCTCCATCTCTCCGACCGTACCTTTAAGCTTGGACATGGTAGCATCGGTAGCAGCTTTATCACTCGCCAGCTCTGTCTTGACCGCTTGCAGGTCGAGCTTGATAGTAGACAAAGCATCCTCGAGAGTAGCCTGCAGCTGCTTTTTAAAAATATCTGCGATATCTTTCCTCAGCGCGGCCAGCAACTCGAGTTTGAGGGCAGTGGTGTCAAGGTTAGCGTGCGTCGAGGCGACCTCTGCAGGAGCCGACGGCTCACCTGAGGCCGCGGTCGCGGCTTGTAGACCAGGCCGAAGTTGTGTCTGAATAGTGTAACGACTTTTAGAGTTCTTTCCAGACATCTTGCACAGTCCAGAGTAGAAATTCCCAATAAAAAGTTAATACAGAGCAAGCCAGGACAAAATATGTGAGTAAAAAGCGCAGGTGAATTAGAATTTAAATCAAAATCGGCAGGAGCCTCGAAACTCACGTCCTACTCTATTACAGCTCAGCAGCGCCCCCAAGATGAAACGTCTTTGATATTTTCTACCCTCAAAGGTGTGACAATGAGCTCAGATTTCCCTGCTGGTGGTCCTTCTGGTTCCTGTTCTGATCCAAAACCTGTTCCAGTAAAACTGCTGAAGTCTCACTGCAAAAGCAGCAGCAGCTCCCCAACAACACGATTCTACTGACAGCAGCTCTTTACCTTCAGGTTTCTCCTTCCTCCTCACAGCAGACTCACTCTGGTGAGACAGGTTGATAATCCTCCTCAGACAGAAAACATGAACTGAAGCAGCTACAGGGACGCTCCTCTGTAGCTTCTGACACATGTCACACACATCACACTCATTCGAGTTCCAGAGTTCATTCTGTGTATGTGACCTATGTCTGGTCAGTTTATTAAATTGTTTCCTGTGTTATCTGTCAGCTTTATTTGACTGTGTGCAAAGATACTATCTCTAACGAGATAATAGTGGTTATATGGCTCAGCTGTTGATGGTTAACAGAATGCGGTCGTCCCACCCAAACGAGTTCCCTTGGGACCAAGGTTGTTGTTCATAGGTGCCATCTGCTCTGGGGATGACAGCAGTGACCTTGCCCACAGGCCACAAGGCACGCGGGCTTGGCAGTGTCTCCACCTGCGCCAGCTCAGGATGTCAGTGTCGACCACCTGTGGCATGGACGGATCACGCCACCCCATCAGAAGCATGTTGGGAGTGATGGAATCCAAGTCACAGCACCAGGAGTCTCTCTGCACCTCCCTGATGGCGACCATCTCCGAGTTCTTGTCGTCCTCAGCGCTGAACTCTGTCTGCGTCGCCGCCCCGTGACAGGCTCTGACCGTGGCCTCCAGCAGCTCCTGGGACTTAAGCAGCTCAGCAGAGTCATCGGTGGTCTGAGGTGGAGGTTCAGGGCGAATAGGCCATGGTGACTCTTCCATCTGCAGGAAGGTTGGTCCGCGGCTCCAGCGATGCTCTGGGACGATCTGTGACTGAGTCAGCCCCCTGGTGATGTCATCAGCTGGGTTGACTGCTGCGTTGACATACCTCCAGGTGTTGTCCTCTGTCGGCTCTTGGATGTCCGTGATCCTGGTGCCAACAGACGCCTTTTTGTGGCAGGGCATCACGTCCATCTGCGATGGCTTGGAGCCTTTCTGGAGCACCTCAGCTGATTGTGCTGGAGTGCTGGTGAGCATGCAGGTTACCGTGGACGACCTGTGCCTGAGGACATTAGCGGGACCTTGCAGTGTCCATCCAAGCTGTGTTCTCAGAGCTATGGGACTACCACGAGGGCCTACATGCACCGGCTCGATGGGTACAAGAAGGTCTGGGTAGTCAGAACCGATGAGCAGGAGTGGCTGAACTTGTTTGAAGGAGTGGAGAGGGAGACCTCTGAGATGTCGGTAAGCCGTTCTCAGCTCCTCAACTGGGTGTGAGTGGGGGGACAGTCCAAGATCAGGTGAGGTGAAGGCCCGCTGTATCTTATACCTCCTCTGTGGGTGAGTGACAGACGACACAGAGAAAGACACTGACTTGCCAGGCACTGGCCTGATGTCCTGGCGGATGGTACGCAGGGCTAGCTCCTCCTTCTGTCCCCGTAGGTCGAGCTACTGGGCCGCTTGGTGGAGGAGCATGGTGCGTTAGGAGCCGTCGTCGAGGATGGCATAGGTTTCCATCCTCTTGGCCCCATAGTGCAGATGCACCTTCACCATCTTCAGCAGCACACAACTATCACTTCTGGATGGGTCAAGATAATAGTTGACGGGCTGGCTGGCTGAAGACGGTGCAGCAGTCTCTGGCTTGTTGTGCGTGTTGACCTCGTGCAGTGTCTCTAGGTGCAAGCGGTTGCACTTAGGACACCGGGCTTTGAGGTAGCACTGGGCCGCCAAATGGTCACGTCCACACCTCCAGCACCTCTTCCCAGCCTTTACCCACTCCACACTCTGGTCAAGGGACAGGTTCTTGAACCCTGTGCACTGGTTGAAGTAGTGCTCCTTGCTGGTGCAGAATGGGCAAAACTTCTTGGGCTGGTCGGGCTGCTGAGGTGGGGCTGAAGCTTGCTTCGGCGGCTGCTTAGCTGGCTTGGCTGGGGGGTCTACCAGCAGGACTGTGGTGGACCGGGTGGCCACGTTCTGCCTGCCCCTGGCGTCTCGCTGCCAGTCCGGCTGACTCACTGCTGCTGCCGCCTTCGGTGGCTCACTGGTCTCATCCATTTGTATGCCGACCTCACGCTCCAGCCAGTCGGCAAACTCCCGTAGCGTGGGGACAGGCACACGGACAGGATCAATGTACCGCCTGAAGGCAGCACGCAGTTCGTGAGGTTTGGGAAGCAGTCGCGACACATGGGACCCGGTCCGAAACTCCATTTCTTCTTGAGTGCCCATGCTATCCAGCATTCCCACCAATGCCTGGACCTTCAGGGCGAAATGTCTGAAGCCTCTCTGGTCACCACTCTTCACCGGAGGCTCGGCCAGTAGCAGGTTGATCTGCCTGAGTGCCAGCTTGTGGGGCTCCCTGAAGATTCTGGTGAGAGCTGCCATAGTGTCACTGTAGGGGGAGCTACTGTGGCAGTAGGCATCAGCTACCAGAGCAGCGTCTTCCATCTTCAGGTGGTCCAGCAACACCTGATATTTGAAGCGCTCAGTCGCGTCACCAGGCAGGACGTTGTCGAGTGCAAGCTTCATCCGAGTGCAGCTTGTGTACTGGGCACATCAGCAAAGAATGCAAAAGACGTCTTTCATGTAAAGTCTGTGGTTTCAGACATCCAAGTATGCTCCATATCCACCACAAGGAGAAGAAGGAGTTCAAACCTGACACTGAGATTGGTCAGACTCCTGTTGCAGTCCAGACTAGTGGTCTTACTGGGGCCGGTGAACAAAACTGTAAGCTTGCCATTGTACCAGTCAAGGTAAAATCAAAGAAAGGCCAAAGAACAGTGGAAACATATGCCTTCCTGGACCAGGGGAGTTCAGCGTCCTTTTGCACAGTGGGTCTCATGGACAAGCTGAATCTTGCTGGGAGGAAGACAAAGATTCTCCTGCGCACCATGGGACAAGAGAAAATGGTGGAGACTTTCTTCGTATCTGGATTGGAAGTCACTGGATTGGACAGTGATGTCTACTGTGAAATGCCTGACCTCTTCACTCAACATAGAATGCCCGTCAGCATCAGTAACATCCCAAGACAACAAGACCTGGATGCCTGGCCGCACTTGAAGCACATTAATCTGCCAGAAATAGAAGCACAAGCTTTGGAACCTTTGGAAGTCGTCCGGAACGTAGATGATGGGCCTTTCGCCATTAAGACGGTGCTCGGTTGGACAGTGAATGGGCCGCTAGACAGTGAATGCCGTAGGAATACAGGATGTCCAACAGTCACTGCCAATAGAATTTCTGCTGTCACACTTGATGACTTATGGAAGCAGCAGTTCAAAATGGACTTTCCAAAGAACTTGAAGGAACTCCCACGTGAAGACCCTGAAGTCAAGGTGTCTGCAGTTATTGTCTTACAACCACACAATGGCGACCCTTTGACCAGTTTGATTAGTCGCACTTCCTCTTGGACCCGCCTCATCAGGGTGATGGGTTGGATCCTGAGGTTCAGGACATTGCTTTTGCGTCGTCAAAGGAGCAAAGAAAAACTAGCATGCCTTGCTCAATCTGTATCTGATGCAGCTCACAGGGAGAATGTTCATCACATGGTTGAGCCCTGCAATGGCTTTCTCCCCTTGGAAGAGATTAAGGATGCTGAGATGCAGATAATTAAGTTCTGTCAAAGAAAGGTGTATGCTGAAGAAATTTCCTGCCTCCAGAGGGGAGAGAGTGTAAAACGAAGTAGCCACATATATAAGTTGAATCCTGTTCTGGAAGAAGATGTGCTACGAGTGGGCGCACGCCTCAGTAGAGCTGTTATGTCGGAAGATTCCAAACATCCTGTCATAATTGCTAAGGATCTTCACATTTCTAATCTAAAGAAAAGATGGAGACAGGTCCAATACATATCTGATATGTCTTGGAAAAGATGGATTAAAGAATATTTGCCACAACTTCAACAGCGCCAGAAATGGACAAGGATTAAACGCAACTTCATGCCTGGGGACGTGGTTCTCATAGTGGATGATTCGGCACCCCGTGGTTCTTGGATCATCGGCAGAATCACAGCAGCTGTGCCAGACAAGAAAGGCCTTGTACGTCAGGTCTGGATTAAGACCCCGACTAACCTTGTATGCAGACCCGTCACAAAGATATGTCTTCTTCAGGAGGCCTCTGACTCTTGACAATGACATCTTTGGTCCAACTGACTTGACGTTGATATACTGACATGATATCTAGGCTAAGTGCTGGTAACCTCTGGCCTATGACTGATTGACCATGTGCGAAAGGACAGGAGGAATGACCTTTGGACTCTTTGAGTATGTTGTATTGCCTCATCAAAAATCTGTGATGTAATATGCTGTGTTTGGGGTTATGGCTGTTGAATATGTAATTATTACTGTGTAGTGATGTAATAATTAGGGGCCGGAATGTAGTGGATAGAATGGGTGTGGGCGTGCCATAGCGATGACGGCACTAATTGGTCAGGTGGTGTTGGGAGCGGTAGCATTTGAAATCACCTGTTCACTCGCAAGGTGACAGTTAGTAGTGAGTGGGTGATGGGGGAAGCCTACTTTTTGCTGACCGCTTTGCGCTATACGCTATACGCTTTATGCTTTATTCTTTACACCTTATGCTTTTGGATCGGATCGAATCAAGTTGGCTGTGAACGTTCATGGTGGATTACCGTATGTGGATTATGGATGCCTGTGAACTGTGACGTGTTGGATACTTGAAGATAAAATAAAGCAATAACACAAAGATTTGGAC